TTGGGTCATGGCCGAGATGTCTCGGCCACACCCCAAATTGGGCCATGGCCCAGATGTCTCGGCCACACCCCAAATTGGCCACGGACATGTCATCTCGGCCACACCCCAGATTGGCCACTGCCGCGAAAAAAAAAAAAAGAAAAGAAAAAAAAGGAAAGTGTGCTACAACCGCCCTTTTCAAACTCGGGGCCTGATGTTATGACTGCCTTTTCGAACTACGGCCATTTTTTCGTTGCCCATTATTGTTTTTTTTGCCCTTTTGAACTTCGTTTGTGACACAAACGTACTTGCCCCCCCAAAAAAAAAGGTATTGCATTTCACTGCGGTCTTTTTCGTTGTGAGGGCCAAGATATTCGTTTGTTGAGAGTGTGGTTTTGCAGGATGGTAGATAGGGACCGTGGGACTCTCGTAAATCCAGGGGGAAGCTCTCAATGCCACACAATACACTTTAATGCAACCAGAAATGAAAGTTTCAACTTGCAGACAAGGAAGATTTGATCATAAAGGTATTGAATACAATTACTAGGGATCACTGATTCTGTGTTATGTACAGAGGAGGTTGTCACTGACTCGATATACTGAGTGCAGCTCCAACGAAGAATTATCGGCTCTAATGGTTAGGCTGAGTGCTGATGGGCATGAAGACACCCTAAGAGGCTACGACTGAAAGGCAGTGCTATCCAGCCAGACCCCCAGTGGTAAGAGCAGAGCAATTAGGAAACATCATGACGATTCCCGCCCCCCAGCCATAGCATCCTGTCTAGTTCTGGGCATGAGCTGCCCTCCAAGAAAAAGCTAAGTATTGCCTGGTGCTATCTGAGTATGATGTGAATAGTGGATCAGCCTGACCCTGTATACTCTATACATCTAAGATCCAGGGACGAAGTTCTGGGCGTAGGCCCAGGCGTTGTTGGCGACGGGGTCAGCCAGATGGTCGTTCAGGTTCTCCAATGGGCCCTTGCCGGTGACGATGGCCTGGACGAAGAAGCCGAACATGGAGAACATGGCCAAGCGGCCATTCTTGAGCTCCTTAACCTTCAGCTCAGCCAAGGTCTCGGGGTCATCGGCCAAGCCCAAGGGGTCAAAGCTGCCGCCCGGGTAGAGGGGGTCCACCACCTCTCCCAATGGCCCACCGTTCACTCTGTATCCCTCCACGGCGCCCATGAGCACCACCTGGCAGGCCCAGATGGCCAAGATGCTCTGAGCGTGGACGAGGTTGGGGTTGCCCAGGTAGTCCAGCCCACCCTCGGAGAAGATCTGAGCGCCGGCCTTGAACCACACAGCCTCTCCGAACTTGACGCCGCTGTTGGCCAACAGCTCCGGGGTGAGGCAGCCGAGCGCGCCGAGCATGGCCCAGCGGGCGTGGATCACCTCCAACTCCCTGTTGCGAGCGAACGTCTCGGGGTCCGCGGACAGTCCAGCNGGCGTGGATCACCTCCAACTCCCTGTTGCGAGCGAACGTCTCGGGGTCCGCGGACAGTCCAGCGGTGTCCCAGCCGTAGTCGCCGGGGAACTCTCCAGTCAGGTACGATGGACTCTCACCGGACAACGGGCCAAGGTACTTGGGGCGGTCGGGGCCATACCTGCATTGCACATGCAAACCCAAGCATAAACAGGTATAAGAGCACGACAAAAAGCCACCACAACCAGTAATATGAATGAACCCTCAGCATGCAGGGCCTGGCAAGACTTGCACATGGAGTACAAAAAGGGTGCACACTGCACAAACAAGGAAGAGATCATGAGGCCAGCAACGCTGGGGAGGGATCAAGGGTGCTTCCCTTGTACTAGCTCAATGGCGCACACATGTAAATATAAGCAGACCAAGAGTTCAAATCCGTACTTGATACAAGGAAGCCAGGGGTTACCCCTGTAACAAAAGACAAAAGAAGGAAAAAAGGTGGGCAGGTGAAGCAACACACGTGCAGGAACCAACGGGCCTAGCTCAGTTGATACACCTCATGACCTGTTGAAATACAGACTCAAGTTCAAATCCAGATACTATGAGATGAAGAGAACAAAAGCATGTTGAATTGCCTGGGGGTGGTCAGTTCAATGATGATATCTCAAGGCCGTCGCCTTTAAAAAAAAAAAAAAACACGTGCAGGAGAACATAAATATGGAGGAGGGAAGGTCACCACATCAACATGCAGATGATGAAAGGGACAACTAAGGTACGTGAGTACGAACTCCATCGATCCATAGCACATCAACATGCAGATGATCAAAGGGACGACCAAGGTACAAACTCCATCCATCCATCCATCCATTCGTCGGAGGTTTACAACTCCAAACTCAGGAAGGAAATGAAAGTTCCGGGCTGTACAGAACCAGGATCGACAGACCAGCTTTTTAACACCCCCCTTCAAGATCGAAAGGCCAGTACACGATCAGCTTTTTCGTGTCATTTTATATATTATAGTGGATGGCCGAATACAAGAAATGTTTGCCGTAAGTCGGCGTAAGAAAATGCATCACGTCGAGACAGATAAAGGGGGACTTAGGTGCTCTCAGCCATACCCACGGCACAAGCAGCCATTGCCAACTTGCCAAGGGAACCAGAGTGTGGCTGCTTGTGCACAAGCAGGTTGAAGCAGCCATAGTCAAAGACACAAGCAGCCATATTCAAAGTCATAAACAACCATTCCAACCGCTACCCCCTCTGTGTGTGTGTGTGTGTGTGTGTGTGTGTGTGTGTGTGTGTGTGTGTGTGTGTGTG